TGAGCGCGTCTCAGGAAGAAGTCACAGACAAGCTCCCAGCTCAGAGAAAAAACAACAGAGCTTCCAATCCCCACCAATGCAGGAAGTCTTCACCAATTATTAACAGGAAATACGTTACCACTTTTTCAACGAAGACGTGCAACCCCATCCCTGCAGCTCACAGCTGCGTGGTCAGAGCCTCTGCTATGCAAGTAGAGAAGAACGACGACCATTACGTTGTCCCCTCCTGCTTCATGCTTGTACCCATCTCCATGCTATACCCCTATACCTTGACTTGTCTTGTGTTTGGAGTTCTTTGGAACCCTTAAATCCGTAATCGCTCTGCAGTGCTACCAGAGAAAGGCCTCTCGACATGGCCATAGGACGGATTGCGACCAGCCACGAAGTTCCTGCTCTCACAGGCACGCAGTCCTATGCTGCCAGTATCCCATGCGTGGCCATCTGATCACTTCAAAACTCCAGGGGCTCAGGGGCTCACCAACCAGCTCATAGCTGTTTACACACAACAGCGTCTTTAAAGAGCAACAATTGCTGAGAAGAACTGTATTTTTAGCTACCACTGTTCCAGTTCTCATTGCAATTGTTTTGTAGTTTCCAAGCCCTTTTTGTTCAGATTCCTTGGCACACACTACAGTAAAGAATACATATACTGCAGCAATGACTGGAAATCTGCAATAGCTCCTCTTCCCAAACATTTGGGGATCTACAAGTGTGCCCACATGAAGAGCTTCCCAAAGCACAGGTCATTATCCAGCATTTTTCAGCTGGCTGCACAATAGTTAAGTTCACCCCACAGCAAACTCAGTGTTGAAACACTGGTGTCGACACTTGACATCTGCAGACTTGTCAGAAACCGAGCAGTAGCTGTAAAACATTCCCCAACGCCAAAGAAAACTCGTCCCTTAATTACCTCCCTAATTAGAGCTTCCACAGTCCCCTTTCCCACTCCTCCTCAGCAAACTGCCATGGGAGCTTTGTTCTAGGCAGCAGGGGGTCCCCAGAACATGTGCCAGGCAGACCTCCCACGTTTCTAATTAAGATCCCCACGCTACTTTCGCTTAATAGGACTTTGTCAACTTCCCAAAGCGACAAGGTCTTCAGTTGCTTTAAGAGAGAAAGTGGAGCTCTGACATACTGACAGCTCAACTCATTCAGACTAATTTTATATGAAGCTAATGCCAGGGACAGATTTGCTGCTAATGAGTGTGAAAGGTGATCAGGAAAAGACGTATTCCCCAATTCATACAAAAGCTTCTTTGGATACAAAGCCTCTCTCTCTCTCAAAAAAAAATCATTTCTCTGTCTATGTAGCCTCTACAATGTAATCATCATTATACCTTATATATAGATAAATATATATATACACACACACAGAAGGTAACTTTGAGCACACTTAGCTGACAGGGCTCATCTTTCTCAGCTAGTTCCCTTATTAACCTCACTAAATACAACAGCAGGATCAGAGCAAAATCTCTTTCCATTTGCACTCTTGGTGTGAAACCTGAAGCATGAAAAAAATACAACAAATTTAAACTTAGGCAATTCCCTAGAAAAAAATTGCATCTCTGCTTGTTGATCCTTCGTTGTTTCCCCAGCTCTACTGAGCCGTCTTTGGATGAGAATTAGTGCGTGCTTTGCGTATACAACACCATACACCGTTCCGGTTCCCATTAGCAGAGTAATGGTCTACTAAAAATTACTGAAAAGGAATATAGCAAGATGACAGGGACTCTACTGGAAAGTAGGGCAGAAATGACAAAAAACCTGGTTTAACTCTTTGAGGAGTTCTAATACTTTTTTTTCCTAACAGTAGCTAGAGAGAAGAACTCCCTTTTCCCCGTGCCCCTTTTCCCTGCCAGCTTTTCTCTTAGATATTTCCGCTATTAGCTTCCCATGGCAAAACATCTGTCTGTTCTGAGCTCTCCATGTAACTCTTTGCCCTGTGAGCATTTTGGCTAAGAATAGCTGCCACTGCAAAACAAAGAGGAAACAAGTTGGCAATAAACATTTTTAATTCATACACTGTCCTCATGCACAGACACACAAAAATGCTTAACCCTTCAGCTTCCTGCCTACTCATTCTTACCCCTTTCTCACACCCTTACTCCCAATAATTGGTCTGTACAAGACTTTTTTTTTTTTATTATTTGAGCATTAAACTTATCCTTTTATAAATTAAAATCTGTGGCTTAAGACAGACAGGGAAGATAATGCTTTAAGGACTCCACTGCTATGTAGAATGACTGGGTAGCAAAGATAGATTTATGGGTCTAACCCTTAATGAGAAGGAATAAAAGGCAGCCTACAACTCATGGTACCTATATAGCTCATTACTGGGTATTATTTTAATCTTTCTAAAAGATAAAACTTTTTGAAATTCTCATCTACTCATGATGGAGCTGTGCGGTGGGGGGCTGGAGGGCATTTAAGTGAAAACTAATGGCTGACTTAAAAGGAAGCTTCTGTCGTGGTCTGAAGACAGCAGTGGTCCCTAAACGCCAGACTGACAAGAGGGAATTTTCTGCACAGCTCACAGTTAGAATTCTGCTTTTCTACTTACATGTGCTTTGGGATATTTTCATTTTACCTACATTCCCAACAGATCTTTGCTTTGTTTCCCTTCTCCTCCCTACCCTGGGGTTTTCCCAAGTCAGAACAAGAACCTCACTCCATTGAACCTCTCAATTCCACCGTGAGCAGGGATCAGTGGAGTAAGCGTGCTTGACCTGTACAAGCTTTAACTCAACATGTCTACAATCTATGCAGTTCCCAAATGGCTCATTAGCACCTTTTCTCACTTCACCTTGTTTGAAACGAAGGTTATAATACACTGTTCATTTTTTCTTGTGGAACAAATACTTCTTTCCCTTTGTAGAGTATCCAGGGATATCCTCATTGTCAGGGTGAGTAATTCTTTGTCATTCCCTTTATACCAATAATGAGCTCAAACAGTTGCAAAGACTACGTGGTACCTGCTATTGTATAGCTTGGTGAGCTGGCAGCACTGTATGTATGCCTTGGCTACTCTGCATAATAATACCTATGGAACAAACCTATGAGTAATGCGGCGCTCTAGCGAAGATCCCTCATCCTGCCTCTCTGTGAACTACTAGAGCTGTAATTTTGGTATTATTTAAACAAGTCTCTGCAGGCCAAGATCAAACACTCTAATTGCATTTCCTTCTTTCTGCAGGGAAAGGAGGATTTACCACTATTTCATAATGACAAGTGAGCACGTAGCTTCTGCCCTTGAAATAGCTGTCACAACCTTGCTGCCCTTCCTCCACCCCTGCTCCCCATTTTACATCCAACTGTGCTCCAAAGAAGACATGAGGACTCAAGACAAGAACGACTCTGCTAACGTATGACCGCTGTTACGAAGGGGCCTTAAAATCCTTCTCCAGGATACAAGGGTATTTCACTTCTTTTAATCTTTTCAAGTGGCAGTTCAGGATACAGTGCTGAACGGTGCATTTTGGAGACATGCTTTCCACTGAAAATAACACACTGGTGTTTTGGGGTTTTTTTAAATAAAATATTATGACCATAGAAAAAACTGTGGTCATTAAATGACATATTTCATGAGACCAAAATGATACAGCAGTTGTCCTTGCTTTATGCACGTTAACAAACCTCACCTCTTGCTCACAGGTCTAGCCTGCTTCAGGTAGGAGGCCTAACTTGTTTTGAGAGCAGGTAATGTTTGCGTTACTGAGTGACACGTTCTTGCCTGAGCACAGCTTAGACTGACGTGAAAAGGAGGAAATTTTATCCCATTTCTATCTAAAGGGAAATGTACAAAGTAGTTTGCGATCACTAGAAGGCAGAAACTCCTGCGCTCGAACAATCCCATAGGAGCAATCTGGACTATGGTCCTACACCACCTATTCAACAACCAGCTCTTTTGCCACAAAGGTCCATGGCAAAACATGCACTGGCATTAGTTTAAACTAATGTTAAAAACAAATCACCTTTTAACCTTCTCCTTCTAACAAGTTTTTAACACAATGCTGTTTGAAGATTCTGCCTCTCTCTGTGGTTTCCCAAAGGAATCTGCAGCCAGGGTCATGCAGACAGCTCTCTGCTCCACCCACCGAGCAATTTTCATTCACTTTGAGTCAGTCACAGGTTAGAAGGGTTAAATGAACAGAAAGCCACCTGCTTCGAACCCATGGTATAAATATGACTTCTGGTTTTCTAACTGGAGGCAAATACTTTAGCGGGTGGAGCTGTGAATAAAGCCTGTGATGGCATCTCTTGGGCCCAAATATTCCATATTCTGGACCATTTTAAACTCAATGGGTGGCACCTATTAATTCTTAATTAAGCCTGGAAATTCTTGTCTGGCAACAAATGAAAAAACAAGCTTACTTTGATGTACAGACTAGAGGCAAGAGATGAAGTTCTGTACTTTGGGTGTACTTATGTATAAAAAAAAAAAAAAAAAGTCTTTAGAGCCAAAGTGCTGTAGTTATACCAGCATAGAACGCTGCTGCTGATCCAAGCCTAGAGAAATCAACAGAAATTATTTCAGAGGATTTTGGCTCAGACCTTACAATGTTACAATACTAAGACTCTCAAATCGTCTACACTGCAAATTCCCAACACATCATACAGACAATGTGTTCTACCTTTAAGTGAGCAAACTTGAATAATGGAGGCAGCCTCGCCATGACAGTAAGGAGCTCAGCATTGGGTGTCATTACTCCTCTCCAAACTAATCACCCTCTAATATTACACAAAGTTCTGTATATCGTCAAAAAGAATTTCCCTGCCACTTTACTGAAGGTTGTCCAGACCTCTTAGAAAACATTGAGCTTCAAAGAGTTTCAAAGCAACCATCAAATTATTCCATTAAAATAATAGTCCCTGGAAGCACACAGGAATGCAGACACATTTCTCTTCTGCAGTATTCACGCAAAAGCAATTGTTGCTCTGAAAGATTATCAGAAAAATTGTTCTTTCTAAAGGAAAAAGGGGAAACATGAAATAGGACTCACCATCCTCATGCCCTTCTCTATTTCTCCGTCGATGTCTGTCTCGCCGGTGGCTAATAACTGACTCTGTTCCTGTTTCATTGTCCAGGCCATCCCGGCTGCTGGCAGCATTTGGGCTGTTAGAGGACAAATAGGAAGAAACAATGGAGTCATCTCTTTTGATAAAAGCAGTTGCAGTTGTGAACATGCCGGTTTAGAAGCTAGAAAACTACTACACGGGTTAGCTGCAGTCTTGCTGCAGCACTGCGAGCTCCCCCAGACTGCTCTGCTCACCCCAAAAACACCTGAAGTGTGAAAAGCCAGTTCAATATCCAAGCCCTGAGACACAGGGCTATTTGCACAAGTAGTATCATTGTGACATTGAAAAAGCTGCCACAAGACTGTTGCATGAAATTTCCGTAGGAAAAAAAAGCCTACTGATGTGCTAAGGGATCATTTTAGCATGTGGTAACTACAGGACAGTTCCTCTGCATCTCTCAAACCCTCCCATGCTGGCTTCTGAAGATCACAGATCCAAAAAATGTATACAAGTATGTATGAGCTCCTCTAGTAATGCCAACAGATTACACGCTCTATCAGGGGCTTATTCTCAAGCCCATGAATTGAGTTGCGTTTTCATAGAATCATAGAACTGTTTAGCTTGTAAAAGCCCTTTAAGCTCCCCCAGCCCAACCATTCCCCTAACCCTGCCATCCCACCACTAAACCCTGGCCCTAAGCACCCTGTCTGCCCGGCTTTTAAATACCCCCAGGGATGGGGACTCGACCCCTTCCCTGGGCAGCCCATTCCAATGCTTGACAACCCTTTCTGCAAAGAAATTTTTCCTCTGCCATTTTTTTTCTACAATACTCCAATATATTTTTTTAAACCAAATGCAGTGTTTCAATTCAATTCCTTGTTCACCCACAAAGAGGTTTGTTTTCCTGACAATAACCCAAGCTAGGTATGCGGCACTCTGACAGCCAAAGGGCAGAAGCTATAGCTCACTGTGGCCACTTTTAATATAAAGAGCTGACCTTGAAGGTTGAGGTCTTGCAAGTCATAGCAAAGCTCAAAATAATTAAGTGCATGTCTGTGAAATGTACAAACAGACCCCAAGTCTTTTCCTCTCCTTCTCAAATATTTGAAAGCTACACAGATATGCCAGCACAATATTAATCTAGTCAGACCCAGAGAAAGACCATTATGAGCAAGTGAGCTTTGGCCAAAAAGCAGCAAGATCTTGATGACCATCTCAGTGGCCAGATTTCTTCCACTCTGCTTTTGGGAGGGCTCTGCTGAGAGCCACTGTCTTGCTACTACAATTAGCCAGAACAAAAGGTTTCAGAGAGGCAGCAGAGAATTGGTTCCCATGGTTTAGGGCCACTTTCTGGGATCTATCTAAACAAACAGCAATGACAGCTCTGTACTCTTGAACTTCCAAGCATCAAGGAAGGGCCATTTCCCAGTTAATAGAAACCCAACTGGCTTCCACTTCTAATTCCAACAGACAAGTCAAGTCGGCTAACAAGAGCAGTGGCTGTACTACAGAACACTGAATATGTCAGACCGCTTCTTTGCAACCATCTGTTTCAAGATCTCTGCTGAGGAAAAAAAAATCAGTCATGTTAAAGCAGAGTTGGCTGGAGCAAAGGCGAAGATGGAGATGCTCTTTTTTCCCCTGCTGAA